GGGCGTGTGTGCAGGGCGTGTGTGCAGGGCGTGTGTGCAGGGCGTGTGTGCAGGGTGTGTGGGCGTGTGTGCAGGCGTGTGTGCAGGCGTGTGTAGGAGCATCTGTGTGCGTGTGTGAATGAAGTGGGTGGGCAGTGTGGGGAATAGGGTCTGACAGAGGGGGGTGCGAGAAGAGGGCAGTGTGTGCACAAGGAGGATGTTTGCCAAAGGGAGAGAGCTTGTGAGAGGGATCTGTATGCATGTGAAAAAGTGACCAACTTTTATGCCTGAAAGATGAGGGGACATGAGAGGCAGAGATGCATATGAGGGAACTGTGTGCTTGTTAGGCGTGAGCATGCACATGGAAAGTGTGTGTGCGAGGCTGTGTATTCATGAGGGATATTTCAGAGTGGTTTTATATGAAAGCTGTGCATTTGATGAGCGTGCATGCAGCTGAGAGGAACGTGAGTGCATGAGTGAGTGTATGTGAAAGAGAGGGGGATGGGGATGTACACAAGGGCAATAGCTTGCACAGCCAAAAGGCATGTTGTGTGTTTTAGATGTGTGTGTGTGCAAGAGGAAGCAATGTGTGCATGTGGTGAAAGTCAGATGTCACACGGCACCAGGTTATAGTCTAACAGGTTTATTTGAAACCAGAAGCTTGAGGAGCGCAGCCCCTTTGTCATGTGCAGTGAGAGAGCAGAGTACACAGAGTTTACAGGCAGGGACGCCAAGGGCAGAGAGATCAAAAAGATCATTCAACTGATATGAGTGGAGTGTCAGATGATAAGTCTCTGCAGGTGATCAGGAGTGTTACATGGTGAGTAAAGTGTCAACAACTGAATAACCAGGGAAGGGATGACCAACAATCCGATTAAATGAGGCAGAGAAATAATTACAAAAAATTAAAAATAAAAGGTGGTGCTGGAGACAAACCAAATGACTAGAATAACATGACGGGTATAAGAGTTGCATGCTGAGGGTCTAACCAAAGTAATAAGTAATCCAAATCTGTACAAACTAATTAAGGTAGAGAGATCATAATTTATCAAGGTGATGATGTCAAAACAGGACAGTAAGGAAGATTTTACAGATATAGAACAGTGGTCCAGGGTCACATGTAGCACAACACGAACCCAAGATCACATTTGAGGCCGTCTTCACTGGTATGGAACTTGTCTGTCAGTTTCTGCTCGGTGATTCTGCTTCATTGTGTATCTCGAAGCTCGCCTTGGAGGACGCTTACCTGAAGATCGGAGGCTGAATGCCCTTGATTGCTGAAGTGTTTCCTGACTGGGAGAGGACATTCCTGTTTGGTGATTGTTGCGGAGTGTGAAGAACTGGTTGTTGAAATTGAAGACATTGTACTCGAGGATTAGACGGATGAGTTGTAGGATGGTGTCTGGAAATTGGCAGTTGTTGGTATTGAGTACTGAATTGTCCATTGTGATGAGGAATGTTCCTAGTTCGACTGGTCCGTGGGTGCTGGGTTTCTGTAAGAAATCTGTAGTGTTGTGACAGAAGCTGGGGGTTCCTTGTACTACGGGTTTCAAGATGCCCTCGACATAGCCAACTCATCCACTTCATCCTCAAGCACAAAGAACCAGTTCTTCATTCAGACACATGGAACAGCCATGGGGACTAAATTTGCACTTCAATACGCCAACATTTTTACACACAAGTTTGAGCAAGACGTCTTTGCTGCGCGGGACCTCCAACCAGCACTATACACCAGATACATTGACGACATTTTCTTCCTTTGGACTCATGGCAAGGAATCACTGAAACAACTACATAGTGATATCAACAAGTTTCATCCCACCATATGACTTACCATTGATTACTCTGTAGAATCAGTCTCATTCTTGGACACATGCATCTCCAATAAGCACAGAACCTCAGTACCTCACTCCATCACAAGCCCACAGATAACCTCACGATGCTGCATTTCTCTAGCTTCCACACTAAACATATTAAAGAAGCCATCCCCTACAGACAAGCCCTGCACATACATAGGATCTGCTCAGATGAGGAGGAACGTGATGGGCACCTGAAGGTTCTGAAGGACGCTCTCATAAGAATGAGATACGATTCCCATCTGATCGATTGCCAGTTCCTGTGCCAAAGCAATAAACTGCAACAACCTCCTCAGAAGACAGGCACAGGATATGACTGATAGAGAATCCTTCATCATCCAGTACTTCCCCAGAGTGGAGAAACTATGCCACGTTCTTCTTAGCCTTCAATGTGTCATCGATGATGATGAGTCTCTCACAAAGATCCTTCCTGCGCCTTCACTTCTGGCCTTCAAACAACCACCAAATCTTAAACAGACTATTGTTCACAGCAAACTACCCAGCCTTCAGCTCAGCAGGTCTGGCAGCATCTGTGAAGCGAAAATCAAGGTTAACGTTTCGGTTCCGGTGACCCTTCCTCAGAACTGGACCCGAAACGTTAACTCTGATTTCTCTTCACAAATGCTGCCAGACCTGCTGAGATTTTCCAGATACTTCTGTTTTTGTTCTGATTTATAGTATCCACAGTTCTTTTGGATTTTACTCAGCATTCAGGACAACATTGACCATAACACCAAACAACCCTGCCATGGCAACCTCTACAAGACATGTCAGGTCATTGACATGGACACTACCATAACACATGGGAACACCACCCACCACTAGCATGGCAGGTACTCATGTGACTTGGCCAATGTTGTCTATCTCATACACTGCAGGTAAGGATGCCCTGAGGCATGGTATAGTGGCGAATCTATGCAGAAGCTACGACAACAGATGAATGGACACCACGCAACAATTGCCAGACAGGAATGTTCCCTCCTAGTCGGGGAACACTTCAGCTTCCGACCTTCAGGTAAGAGTTCTCCAAAACGTCCTTCGAAATACATAACAAAGCAAAATCGTTGAGCAGAAACTGATAGCCAAGTTCTGCACCCATGAAAATGGCCTCAACCGTGATCTGGGGTTCATGTTGCGCTATATGACCCCATCGTACTATTCTGTATCTGTAAAATCTTCCCTACTGTCCTGTTTTCACACCATCACCTTAATAAATTGTTATGATCTCCCTACCTTGATGAGTTTATGCAGTTTTGACTTACTTATTACTTAAGTACAGGAGTTGCATGCCGAGGGTCTAACCTATTATGTTATTTCAGCATTTGGTTTGTCTGCAGCACCACCTTAATTTTAATTTTTTGTAGTTATCTCTCTGCCTTACTTAATCAGAATATAAATCATCCCTTCGCTGGTTATTCAGCTGTTGACACTTTACTCACCATCTAACATTCTTGGTCACCTGCAGAGACTTATCATCTGACACTCCACCCATACCAGTTAGATGATCTTTTAATCATTCTGCCCTTGATCACTCTTCCTATAAGCTCTGGGTCTGTGTGCTCTGCTCTCTCACTGCACCTGAAGAAGGGGCTGCGCTCCTCAAGCTTGTGTGATTTCAAATAAACCTGCTGGGCTCTCACCTGGTGCCATGTGATTTTTGACTTTGTCCACCCCAGTCCAACACTGGCACCTCCACATTGTGGTGAGTGAGAGAGACAGACAGGGGAGTTTAAGAGACAGGGATGTGGTTTGAACAGGGAGGTAGGTGAGTCAAGGGGGTATGAAAACGAGGGGCGGGTAAAACAGAGCTTTGTATATTGGTGGCGTGAGTGCACACATCATTGCATCTTGGAAAGCCTCACTTGTACTTTGTGCATACAAAATAGATTTGTGCAGGGACTCTCCAACCAATTTTAGGGAAATACGTATAAACTAATTCCTTCGGGTTTCTTAAGATCTCCAACCGACTTCTCCATAGAAAGCATGTGCGATACGTCTATCACAAACAAAAACAGAGGCTCCTGGAAAAGCTTAGCAGCACCTGTGAGGAGAAATCAGAGTTAAGCTTTCGGGTCCGGTGACCCTCAGAATTGTTCCGAGTCACAGGACATGAAACGTTAACACTGATTTTTTTTCACAGATGCTGCTAGATCTGCTGAGCTTTTCCAGCAACTTCTGTCTTTGTTTCTGATTTACAGCACCCGCAGTGCTTTCGGTTTTTATGCAATATGTCTATGTCAGCCGATTGTGTGAAAGTGCATGTGGTGTGCGTGTGTGCACATATTGTGAATACACATTATTTCTCATTTCAAATTAAATGTCTATTCTTAATTC